GGTTGGGGGTTGCAGGCTTGCCCCTGGCGACGGGCACCGTGGCCCGCCCGTGCCCCTGTAAGGGGTCCGGGGCCGGTAGGGGGGCATACGAGTTTCCCTGGTGTTGGCCAGAGTGTCCACCAGGGAAAGCTGGGGAGGGCTAGCCTCCCACTAGTTTGAATTAAGGGGCTACACACCCCTTAATTCGAACTAGTAAGTTCGAACTAGGCTTAGTCCTCGTTCAATGAGGTTTACCTAGTTCGAACTAAGCACACCGCTAGTTCGAATTAAGTTCGAACTAGCGGAGCGCTAGTGTAGCGCCTATCAAAGTTAATTCGAACTAACATCCGTTAGTTCGAATTAACTTTGTAGTGTAGACATACCCCCAGTGTGCAGACCAGAGCTGTGGGGAGCAATGTGGAGAAGCGAGAGCTTGGATCCCTCATTCATTCTGTCACTCTAGAGAGCCCACCAATGAGCAAGGGAGAAGGCGGACTAGGGAAGCAGACAAACAGGGACAGCTAAGAGAGACTTTGCTGCTACCTCTCTCTTTTACCTGGGCTTCAAAAGTAGAAGTTAGTTTTAGGTCAGAAACCCCAGCCTTGTTATCTGACCCTGGAACACGTCAACAGACTGCCAGGGAGCTGGAATACACCCTGGTCAAAATCCTGAAATCTAACAAAGCTACTTGTGATAACTAATCCTTTATATGCAGTCAGCATCCCATAATGGACACTCACTCCCATGTCACCTTATAATATTAAAACCAAAATAATGATATAGTGCTTGCACAAGGAGCTGGATTGAGTCTCCAGGGCCCACTCAGATCAAAGATACCATTTTAGACCACTCCTGTCAAGAGGAAAGACGACAAACTAAGCCAGACAAGACTGGACAAACCTTGGGAGGAAAAGTCAGTCCATGCCAGTTGGATGGGGAAGCTGGCCCAGCAGAGGCCTACCTACAGGTCAACCCTCAAGCAACCCCAACGAATCTCTCCAGTATCTGAAGGTGAAGGTGAAGCCCTGTATTTTGCTGATGGTTACCAATGAGATTCTGAGGTGGTATTTGCTCACATGACACATCCCCAAAGGTTATGGGAAGGGCAAACAGGCCTGAAAAGTGAAGAATGGTGGAGTTCTTCCACGACTCTGAAGTAACTTCATGAGATGTAAGAATCAACCCTTTCTTGACCGAGGAGGATTGGAGGAAAGATATAGCTGAGCTTGAGCTCTGAACATCTGGGGTACGTCTAGACTGTGGTGCTATTTCGGGATACCCAAAATAGCTATTCCGTGTCTTTTAAACCAGCCTGTTATTTCAAAATAGAATAGCGAGCCCATTATTTCAAAATCTGACATCCCTGTAAACCTTACTCCACGAGGAGTAAGGGACATTTCAGAATAGCGCCTTATTTCAAAATAAGTGCTGTGTAGACAGCGCCAAATTTCAAAATAAGCTATTTTGATATAACATTGAACTAAGATACACAATTTGCGTAGCTCAAATTGTGTTTCTTATTTCAACCTATGGGTGCAGTGTAGATGCACCTGTGGGATTCTGGGTCTGTTGTGATTCCCTTACCTCCATACTGGATAGCTGCTTGAACTGAAAGGGCTATTTGCTTAAATATTGGGAATGCTACACGGTGTACTTCTAATGTAAATGGTTGGGATAAATCTGTTTTCCTTCAATTCACTCAGAATAAACCTGTGTGATCCCAGAATGGCTACCGACTGAGTAAAGGTCATGGCTGTGAGTGGGAAGAGGGGATTATTCCACCCATTCAGAATCCCCCCTTATATCAGCTTCACTTTCATTCTGTCTATACCATGAGGTAGCTATTTGCTTTCTTTTCTCAATGTTCTGGCTGGTGTTCTCAGAGCAGTTAGTGCAGTGGTCACCAACCAGTAGATCGGGATCTACTAGTAGACCTTGGAGCCTCTCACGGGTGATCCGAACTAGTTTGGCCAAGAGTCTATCAAATGCCGGCACTTCAGCTGCCCCTCCTCCCATTGCTGCACATTTCCTGCCCTTAGCCTTGGAGTTGTTCCCTCACATCCCTGGGCAGTGTCCTGCTTGCTGTGCAGAGCAGGGAAGGGAGAGAGGGGTGCTGATATCATAGAATCATAGGACTGGAAGGGACCTCGAGAAGTCATCGAGTCCAGCCCCCCGCCCTCAAGGCAGGATCAAGCTCCGTCTACACCATTCCGACAGATGTCTACCTAACCTGTTCTTAAATATCTCCAGAGAGGGAGATTCCACCACCTCCCTTGGCAATTTATTCCAATATTTGACCACCCTGACAGTTAGGAATTTTTTCCTAATGTCCAATCTAAACCTCCCCTGCTGCACTTTAAGCCCATTACTCCTTGTCCTGTCCTCAGAAACCAAGAGAAACAAATTTTCTCCTTCCTCCTTGTGACACCCTTTTAGATATTTGAAAACCACTATCATGTCCCCCCTTAATCTTCGTTTTTCCAAACTAAACAAGCCCAGTTCACGAAGCCTGGCTTCATAGGTCATGTTCTCTAAACCTTTAATCATTCTTGTCACTCTTCTCTGTACCCTTTCCAATTTCTCCACATCTTTCTTGAAATGTGGCGCCCAGAACTGGACACAGTACTCCAGCTGAGGCCTAACTAGTGCAGAGTAGAGCGGCAGAATGACTTCACGAGTTTTGCTTACAACACACCTGTTGATACAACCTAGAATCATATTTGCTTTTTTGGCAACAGCATCACACTGTTGACTCATATTCAACTTGTGGTCCACTATGACCCCTAGATCCCTTTCCGCCATGCTCCTTCCTAGACAGTCGCTTCCCATCTTGTATGTATGGAACTGATTGTTCCTTCCTAAGTGGAGCACTCTGCATTTCTCCTTATTAAACCTCATCCTGTTTACCTCTGACCATTTCTCTAACTTGCTAAGGTCATTCTGAATTATGTCCCTATCCTCCAAAGAAGTTGCAACCCCACCCAGTTTGGTATCATCTGCAAACTTAATAAGAGTACTCTCTATCCCAATATCTACATCATTGATGAAGATATTGAACAGTACGGGTCCCAAAACAGACCCTTGAGGAACTCCACTTGTTATCCCTTTCCAGCAGGATTTAGAACCGTTAACAACAACTCTCTGACTACGGTTATCCAGCCAATTATGCACCCACCTTAGTGAGTTTGCTTTATCCCCACTGCACCACGACCCAGGAGCCACCAGAGGCAAGTGATGCCCTGCTGGAGCCCACATCCAGAACTCCTACCCAAGTCATCAACTTCGTCCTGCATCCCAAGTCCCTGCTCTAGACCCGAGCACTCCTGCATCCCACAGCTTGCACCTAGAATCCCCTCTAGCACTCCAACTGCATGCCCCAAGCTGATCTCAGAACCTCTCTCACTGCAAATCCCTTAATCCAAAACCAGAGCCTGCACCTCAACTCTCTGCCCCAGCCCAGTGAAAGTGACGGAGGTTGGGGGAGGGAGCGAGGATGGAGTGAGTGGGGGTATAGCGTTGGATAATGGGCACAAATGAGGCAGGGCAAGGGTATTTGGGTTTCAGGTAGATCTTGGGTTGCATTTAAATTCAAAAAGAGATCTTGTGTTTAAAAGAGACCCCTGAGTTAGTGCATGTCTGATGGGTTGCAGATACCTCTTGCTTCATACTGCTTTTCTTATCATTGCCACAATCAACAGACCATGCAGCTCCAGCTAGGAAGTCGTAAGTTTTAGAAACCAGGTTGATGATGCACCATGATACATTGATTAATCATGAAATCAAGCAAAGGAGTGACTAACGGGAAAAGACAGCAATGGAAGATGCTCACCTTAATCCCTTCGATCCTGAAGCCCAAATTGGCACTGGAGCTGATGGTCTCTCTCCACTGCATGTAACGTGGCTTGGTCACTGCATGCTGCATGTTCTCCTCATCTGTAGGTGCAAGAGGATCCACTTCAATCATCTTCTTGTACATGTCCTTACGCAACTTGGGCTTTTCACGGGCTTTAGTCAGCTCCTCTTCCAGGTACGTCCTGAAAAAACATCATAGCCCAACAAGACAGTGAGAATCCCCTTGGAATATGAAACAATACCTTGACCTTTTCTTCCAGCACGGGATCTCAAAGCACATTATAAACTAGAATGGACTAAGTGTCACTCACGACACACAGATGAGGAAGCTAATTATCATCATCCCCATTTTACAAATGGGAAAACTGAGAAACAGGGACTAAGTGACTTGCCCCAAGTTATGTAATGAGTTAGTGGTGGAACCCAGAACTTCTGTCTCTCTATATTTGCTCTAATTACATCTTCACCTATAACGTAATCCAACTGCTCTAATTACATCTTCACCTATAACGAAATTCAGTGGTCCACCCTGGTTATAGGCTCTGGAGAAAGAATGGATTCCCATTCTGCATCATGACAAAGGAAAGCAAGGCTCAAACAGACCAATGGTAGTAAATCCAAAACAGGAGATTCATCTCCATCAGGCTCATTCTCTCTCAACTCAGGAGAGAAGAAACAATAACTCCAGACACAGTGAGTTGTTCAGACCCCTAAAGCCTTATGAAGCTACATACCCCAGGTATCGCACAGGACAGGACAGAAATTAACCCTGCATCTGATTAAAAAACCAAATGTGTAGAGTGAAGTATCTGCTTGGCCACAGTTCACCAGTCCAGGGTCAGGCAAGTGGGAAAAAGCTTTGCCCATGTGAGTTGCCACTAGCTGTTACTTGTGCAATTACCCCAAACAGAATTATGCATGCACTCTGACCTCCCCTGGGCTGCTTGAGCTTGGCTCTCCTTCAGTGGGGCTTGAATATGCCCATGAGCTCTTCTAGGCTCCTTGACTAGGGAGAAATAAATGGTGGCATCTCCCCCAAATGCCATACACATGTGTCACCACAATGACAGTCATTCAACTCAGGCTGTCTTAACTTTGCAGTTGGGCACCAGGCTTAGCCTCCCCCTTGTGTGTTCACAGAACAGTGCCCTTCCCATGTTATCACATACACAGAAGTTTCTGCACTTGCCCAGGTGTATGGGAGGCATGCCCCATGGTTCCTGATGTGGAGATGCTCTAGAATTCTACCCTAGTCACATGTGTCAATTGCAGGAGAACCTGTCTGTCTTGCCGGGGGGTGAGGGGACGGGACAATGAGAAGACACTAAAAGAATCATCAGCACTCAGGGGATCTAGCTGGCATCCTCAATGCAAGCTGGGCAGCTTCCAGACCAAGATAAAGTGGAGCTGAGACGCTAACCCTTCCCAAGTCAAGTAGGCAAGCTAATGGCACAGTGAAGACCTTCAAACCAAACTGTGCAGCTCAGGTCAGAATTTCTGTCCTTCTGGTCTACACTAGACTTACACTAGACTTTTTTTTTTTAAAAAAAACAAGAGTTAACTGACCAACAGTTTACTTGAGGTACAGGCAGTCCCCGACTTACGCGGATCCGACTTACGTCGGATCCGCAGATACGAACGGGGCTGCCCCAGAGGACACGGACTGCGGGACCTCCCGGTCCTGCCGCCCGTGTACTCTAGGGCCTTCTCTGCGTCTCC